GAGTTCCAGGACAGCTGGGCCTACAGGGAGACCCTGTCTTAAAAAGACCAAAAAAAAAAAAAAAAAGATTTATTTTTATTTTATGTGTGTGTTTTGCTTGCAAGTAAGTGTATAACATGCATGCAGTGACCACAGAGACCCAGAAGAGGGTATCAGGTCCCTTGGAGCTGGAGTTATAGCTGGTTGTTAGCTCCTTGTGGGTGCTGGGACCTGAACCTGGGTCCTCTGTAAGAGCAGCCAGTACTGAGCCACCTCTCCAGCCCCCTAGGTGTTGGTTTTTAAATTACACGAGAATATATTTAATCTGTGTGTGTGTGTGTGTGTGTGTGTGTGTGTAGCATCCTTTAAGTGATTATTACCTGTCAGGTATTATGTGCTAACACAGTCACTTTCCTTAGATTGACCTATGTTTAATCAGCTTTTTAAATGAATGCATCTTTTAATATGAGGCAAAGAATATTGACTGATTTAAGAAAGTTGAATGGAATTCTACTTAAGTTTTTTTTTTTTTTGCCGGGCGTGGTGGCGCACTCCTGTAGTCCCAGCACTTGGGAGTCAGGCAGGTGGATCTTTGTGAGTTCAAGGCCAGCCTGGTCTACATAGTGAGTTCCAGGACAGGTGGGGCTACAGGGAGACCCTGCTTCAAAAAGACCAAAAGAAAAAAAAACAAAATTTATGTGTATGAGTGTATTGCCTGCATGAATGTTTTATATATATATATAAAATATATGATTTATTTATTTATTTATTTATTTATTTTTGGTCTTTTTGAGACAGGGTCAGATCCCTTGGAACTGTAGTTATGGACTGTTGTTAGCCACCATGTGGGTGCCAGGAACTGAACCCCTGGTCTGCAAGACCAGTCAGTGTGCTCTTAACCATCCAAATTTTTTTTTTTTTTTTTTTTTTTTTTTTTTTTTTTTTTTTTAATCTTTTTGAGACAGGGTCTCCCTGTAACCCTAGCTGGCCTGGAACCCACTATATAGACCAGGGTGGCCTTGAACTCATAGAGATCCACCTGCCTCTGCCTCCCAAGTGCTGGGACTAAAGGTGTGAGCCACCACACCCAGCTGGAGTTCTATTTTTAAGATATAATTTTGGCTTTTCCCTTTGACAGTTCTAAAAATGTCAGTATCCTGAAAAAAAATGAGTAGCTGTTACATAACAAGAAGTTTATTAGTATAAATGGGTGAATTTTTCCTAAACCTACTGGGGTGTACTCTTAATTTGATGTTGTATACTGTGCCTTTCCAAAATATTCTAAACATTTTCAGAATGGTTATAGTAGGAGTATGCCAAAAAGATTTGCAAATGTAATGTGGTACAGATATCTTGACCTTGATAGATAACTGCTTGGCTACCTTTAAAAAGTCACTGTGGCCAGGTGTGGTGGCCCAGGCTTGTAGTCCCAGCACTTGGGAAGCAGGGGCAGGCGGATCTCCTGAGTTAAAGGCCAGCTTGGTCTACATAGTGAGTTCCAGGACAGCTGGGGCTACAGGGAAACTCCGCTTCAAAAAGCCAAAAAAAGCCAAAAAAAAAAAACCCCGAACAATGAAAGTCCCTGTGATGTGATGGAAGACACTATGGTTGCCTAGATAAGGATTAGGATCAGCAACTATTTAGGGATGGGGGTGGACCAGCAACTATTATTATTTTGTTGAAATAAGCTTAGAAATCTGAAAATATTTATTCATTTCACTCTTCAGATTAAATTCCAGTTAAGTGCTTCATCTTCTTTCTTTTTTTTTTTTTCTGTCTTTTTGAGACAGGGTCTCCCTGTAGATCCAGCTGGCCTGGAACTCTCTTTGTAGACCAGGCTGGCCTGGAACTCACAGAGATCCACCTGCCTCTGCCTCAAATGCTTCTTTATTTTTTTGGTTACTAGTTTACTAGTTCCTGTAATTCTTTTAAAAAGTTACGTTTATTATTTTGGGGGGTATTGGTGTATCTGAGGTCAGAGAACAACTTGTCATTTCTCTCTTTCCATCATGTGGGTACTGGGGATCTGACCTCAGGTTGTCAGGAGTGGCAGCAGTCTTTACAAGCTGAGCCATCTTATCTGCCCCCTTTTTGGTTTTATGAGATAAGGTTTCCCTGTGTAGCCTTGGCTGGTCTGGAATTTACTATATAGACTAGGCTGGCCTTGAACTCATGAGTGATCCTTTTGGCTCTGCCTTCTAACTACTGGGATTACAGGAATGCCTCCCCATTCCTGCCCTACCCCCCAAATCAGTTTATGCATAGGCAAAGAGATCTCCCTCCTTCCTGTTCAAATATAGAGCAGAAATAACCCGTGAGACATAAATGTTTTAGTGCTAACTGGATATGTTCTTAGGAAATATACCATGTAGAAGAATATTGCCTCTTAAAAATTTTAAAAAACTAGATGATGTTTTTGTTTTGAAATAGGATTTACAAGAAGTTTAAAAAATATTTTCGGGGGGGGCTGGGAGGGGTCTTTGAATTGAGGAGCTTGTATATTTGAGGGACAAGGGTTTAAACAAGAAATTCCCAGAGGAAAATTAAAGATGCTTAGTAATCAATGTTGGTTAATTAGGGAGATTATAATTAAAACAATTGAATACGAGATCATTGGAAATTTTTAAGTGGTTTAGAAGATGCTGAACCTCTTCTTTGTGCAGAGGGGTGTCAGTTGACACTACTCTGGTGGGTAACTTGACAAGTCTTGGTAAAGGTGATGAATATAGACAGATGTTCTGCAGCCCAGAAACATCATTGTTAGGTTTCTTCCCTTGGAAAAAATTCTTCTGCATGTGCACAAGAAAACACAGACCAGTATATTTATTGTAGTACTATTTTATGTAAACAAACAACAAAGTAATTTAAACAAAAAGAAGTGGAAGTAGGGGCTGGAGAGTTGGCTTAGCGGTTAAGAGCAAAAGACTGCTCTTGCAGAGGACCTGGGTTCGATTCCCAGTACCCACATGGTGGCTACGAACTGTCCTTAACTCCAGTTCCAGGGGACTCTGAAGCCCTCTTCTGATCTCCGTGGCATTGCACTACATGGGTGCACTCACATACATGCAAGCAATACACTCATACACATAAAATAAAAGTAATAAATAAAAAATATTTTTTTAAAAAGTGGAAGTAAACTTTCTTTAGGAAGGGACTGGATAGAGGTTGGAGAGATGGTTCAGCAGATAAGAGCATTGACTGCTCTTGCAGAGTACCTAAGTTCACTTCCCAGCACCCACATGGTAGCTCACAGCCATCTGTAACTCCAGTTCTGGGGAATCTGATACCCTCTTTTGGCCTTTTTGGGTGCCATGTATCCATGTGGTACACATACATATATGTAGACCAAGCATTCATAATGAAAAAGGAAGGTACTGGATAAATAATTGATTTATTCATTGCTTGGAATACTAGTATGAGGAGGTTAAAATTAATTAGATCTCTATTACTATAAACCTGTCTTCAAATAAATAATATTAAATGGATAATGCAAATTGGAAAAGATTATTTCTATACACTTTGATACCATTTGTGTAAAATTGAAAAACACGGTTTGGAGATCCTTGTTTTGTAGCAAAAATATTAAAACATACCTGGGAAAGATGGAAAGATACACAGTAGCCTTAGGATATGGTTAACTCTAGAACATGCAGAAAAGTAGAAGGGAATCTCATCGTATCCATTCTTTTTTTGTTTGTTTTTTGGTCTCTTTGAGACAGAGTCTCCCTGTAGTCACAGCTGGCCTGGATTCACTATGGCGACCAGGCTGGCCTTGAACTCACAGAGATCCCCTTGCTTCTGCCTCCCAAGTACCACCACGCCCAGCTCATATCCATTCATTTATATCCATTTAGCAGTGACCCCTTGTCCCTAGGGGATGTGTTGGAAGACCCCTCCTGGTGCCTGAAAACATGGAGTGTGTCTAGCTTTGTAGTGTATGATTTTCCTGTCCCAGGTGTTGCCACGTGATTCAAGAGCGAATTCTTGATCTCACTATGTAGACCAGGGTGGTCTTGGTCTCACAGAGATCTGCATGCCTCTGCTGGGATTAAAGGCGTGCACCACCATGCCCAGCACTTCTTCCATTTTTAATGCTCTGGTTGATGCCTGATTTATGTAACTCTTCTTGTACCTTTGGGCTATTATTAAATAAAATAAGCATAGAAGTACTTTTACACCTCAACAGTCAGTCTGATAACTTAGAAGGCTTCTAAATGCCTAGTTGTGAGTAGAGTGTATAGTCTAAATAAGCTTGTCAAAGGGATGATTACCACGTGGGGCAAGAGTGAGATTTCATCATGCTAAATTGTGTAGTGTTTTGGTTTCTTTTTAAATTTAAGGGAAGATTTAGCTATGTAGTTCATGCTGGCCTGGAGGTCCTCGTATAGCCCAGAGTGGTCGGTAACTTTAGTTACTTGCCTTATTCCTCCTGAGTGATAGGATTGCAGCCATGAAACACTTTAGCTAGCTTATGTGCACAATTTAAAATGTAAAAGTTGTTCAGGCTTAAGATATATCATAATGATAGTATCTGCCTAACATGTATACGGCCTTGTTTTTTTATCCTCAACACTACACAAAAAAAAATTTTATGGGGAATATTTCATTTAATATTTTCAGGTTGTTGATCAAGGCTAAGGGGAAATGACCTTTTTTTTTTTTTTTTTTTTTTTTTTTTTTTTTTTTTAGAGGGGGTCCCCCTCCCAGCTTTCCTGGAACTCACTATGTAGACCAGGCCAGCCTTGAACTCACAAAGATTCGCCTACCTCTGCCTCCAAAGTGCTGGGATTAAAGGCGTGCAAATAAGGTTGACTTAATCTTGGTGGTAGGTCACTAGCATCTCTTACATGTGAGGTATTAATACTGACTCATTTCTACCATTGTTGTATAAGTACTGTTTTAGGTATGTTAGATTTTAGTGAAATCTGAGTTTAAAATTTTTTCATGTAACAGTTCAAGATGAGAGTGAACATACTACTTTGGGCTATTTCTGATTACTGCTGGTTTTCTTTTCCTCTTAGGTGAGGCAGGCAACCAATCAGATTGTGATGAATTGTGCTGATATTGACATTATTACAGCTTCATATGCACCAGAAGGAGATGAAGGTAAGAACTGTTTTCTATTTTAATTTGCTATGTGGACAGAGTGAGAGAGCGAGAGAGGGATTGAGAGAGAGATTCTTTCATATTGAGACCAGTGTTGATTGCTTTAAACAATGCAAAGCAGAGAAAGCGCTTTAGATGTTTATGGAACTATTTGAATAGTATGCTCTATTGTGTGTATTATGACATAAAAGATATGTCAATTTAAATTTTACTTGAAACAACTTATTTTGTTGCCCTGGGCAAATCACATTAAAAATTTTTTTTAATATTTATTATTTTTATTTTATGTATATGCCTGTATTGCCTGCATGTAGGTTAATGCACCCGTGTTGTGCAATGTCTGCGGAGGACAGAAGAGACTGGGGTGCTGGGATTTGAACCCGGGTCTTCTGCAAGAGCAGTCAGTGTTCTTAACCACTGAGCCATCTCTCTAGCCCTGCAAATCACATTTTAATAAATGTAAAATGAATATAGTAACAATAAAGCTGATGAATTATTTTTAAACTTAAGTATCTTCAATATGAAAGGTTCGTCAAAGGAGCCTAGTTTTATATATGTTTTTCTTAATTTTTTTTAATTAGAAAAAAAATTATTATTTTTATTTTATGTGTACAAGTGTATTGCCTGCATGTATGTGAGTGCACCCATGTCTTGCAATACCGCGGAGGACAGAAGAGGGCTTCAGATTCCCCTGGAACTGGAGATAAGAACAGCTTGTAGCTGCCATGTGGGTGCTGGGAATAGAACCCGGGTCTTCTGCAAGAGCAGTCGGTGCTCTTAACCGCTGAGCCATCTCTCCAGCCCCTATATGTGTTTTTCTTTTGTTGTTATTGTTTGTTTGTTTGTTTGTGTGTTTTGAGGCCGGTTCTAACAATGTAGAACATTCTAACAATGTTCTAACCCTGGATGGCCAGGAACTCACTTTGTAGACCAGACTGGCCTTGAATCCTGTAGTTTGGGATTAAGACATGTGATACCAGGCCCAGAATATTGTCTTTCTTAAAAGACCTTCCTCACCTTGAACTGTAGTTTTTAATTAAGATAGTAAGTCCTAGTCATAATTGAAGATGGTGTTAGTCATGAGGAAAGATATTTTAAGAAGAGGCATACTATATTGTGTGGAAACTCTAATGAGAACTATTGTAGACATGTCGTTTCAGTAAGGTTGTAATAAGTTGGAGCTCAAATCTTATTCCCACATAAGCTGAAAAGGGCTGAATTGGCTTTTACTTTTGAGTTTATCTTGCCATTCCTTGTCAAAATATTTTATTGGTTACCCTGAGACTTCCTTTTAGAAAGTCTTCTTATTTGACATAAAACAAGTTCGAAATTTTGTCTTTAATTTATATTTTGTATTGTTATTTTCTTTCTGCTTTACAAAATACACTGAAGAGAAGCATTCAAGTATATTTTAAGGTCTGACAACATTTCTGTTATGAATTATTCTTAAAATACCTTGCCATTAGAAAGATGAGGCAGTAGCAGTTGCCTGTACCGTTGCTTCAGATAACTTATGCTCAGTTGATTATAAGTGAGATCAAACTGCTGTGTTTTAAATTTGGAAAAACAGATTCTTTAAACAGACTTGAACAAGTGCCAACTTTTGAAAAATTGGTAAGTTAAAGAATGATTAATGATTTCTTCAACTATGAGGAAAAATGGAAACACTTTAGCCAGTTGCATCATGGCAAGCTTTCTTAGTTGTAGGTAGAGAACATTTAAGTTGAATGTATGGTTTTTTTTTTTTTTTGGTCTTTTTGAGACAGGGTCTCCCTGTACTGTAGCCCCAGCTGTCCTGGAGCCCATTATGTAGACCAGGCTGGCCTTGAACTCACAGAGATCTGCCTGCCTCTGCCTCCCAAGTGCTGGGATTAAAGGTATGTGCCACCACGTCTGGTGAATGTATGGTTTTTAATGTATAGTCCATTGTAGCTAGATAGGCATGGTTTTAGCTCACTTTTTTTTTTTTTTAATTCTTTACTCAAATTGCAAGGAAAGAGTTCACAGGACTTAAAAAGTTTTAAATATGCATAAGTGAATTTTGTCTTTTTGAGACAGGATCTCCCTATAGTTCCAGCTGGACTGGAACTCACTATGTAGACCAAACTGGCCTTGAACTCATAGAGATCCCCCTGCCTCTGCTTCCCAAGTGCTGGGATTAAAGGGCGTGCCACCACACCCATTGAGAAATGCACACTCTTTTACAGAGAGATTCAGATAAAGTATTAAATATTTTAGATTTCTTCAGAATTAGCTGAGGTGCATTTCTCAACCCTTTCCTCTTATAGCAACAGGAGAAACCTGGATTCATGTGGAAGCGTGTTTAAATTAGAATGTACTTTAGAGAATGGGCACTTTATTAATTTGATATGTTAAGGTTTGTATAAGGAACAGGGATGGATTTGGCCTCTACACACACACACACACACACACACACACACACAATTTTGTCTTTGGATATAGCATTTTATGATTTTTACCTTACAGGAGAGTATGGCATGTTTCTTTAGAAACTAGTAGTTGGAGCTGGAGAAATGGCTCAGTGCTTAAGAGCACTGTCTGCTCTTGCAGAGGACCCGGGTTCGATTCCCAGCACCCACAAGGTGGCTAACAACTGTCCAAAGCTCCAGTTTCAGGGGTTCCGAAGCTCTCTTCTCACCTCTGAGGGTATTGCACTTACACACATGCAGGCAATACACCCATAAATACAAAATAGAAAATAATAAAATTTTTTTTTAGAAAAGAAACTAGGGGCTACAGAGATGGCTCAGCAGTTAAGAGCACTGACTGCTCTTGCAGAGGACCTGGGTTTGATTCCCAGCATCCACATGGCAGTTACAACCCATTCTTAACTCCAGTTCTAGGGGAACTCTGAAGCCCTCTTCTGACCTCCGGGGCATTTCATGATGCGAGTGTACTCACATAAATGCAGGCAACACACTCATACACATAAAATAAAAATAATAGTAAGTTCAAGGCCGGCCTGGTCTACATACCGAGTTCCAGGACATCTGGGGCTACAGGGAGATCCTGTATCAAAAAAGACCAAAAATAAATAAAAAATAAATAAAATACTAAAAAAAGAGAGAAAGAAACTAGTAGTTATGAATTTGACTGTCAGCTCTTTCCAGGGCTTTGTGCTCATAATAGGGGCCTTCTTAAACTAGATAATCACATCTAATAGCCATTAATAGTCATGATTGCCTTCTGTAAGATTGATGAACATACCAGTAGCCACTAAATTTTGATGCTTTAAGGTAAAACCAGAAAAATTATTTGAATACATGAAATTTTTGTGTAGTAGGATGAAAAAAAGCCATCTTGTGATATGTGCAGTAATCCTGAGACCTGTTAGCATCTGTCTCTTTAAACATGGTTTATTTATTTTCTTATATAGTTTTAAAAAAATATTATTTTTGTTTGTTTGTTTGTGTCTTTTTGAGACAGGGTGTCCCTGTTATTTTTATTTTATGTGTATGAGTGTATTGCCTGCATGTATGTGAGTGCACCTGTGTTGTGAAATGCCACAGAGGTCAGAAGAGGGCTTCGGAGTCCCCTGGAACTGGAGTTAAGGATGATTTGTAACTGCCATGTGGGTGCTGGGAATCGAACACGGGTCTTCTGCAAGTGCAGTCAGTGCTCTTAACTGCTGAGCCATCTCTCTAGCCCCCAAACATGGTTTATTTCTAAACCTAGTAGAGATTGAATATTTTGAAGAAAAAAAAGAGAAACTAGCAAGTGAAAACTGCTGGAAACTTTTTTTTACTGTTCTGCATTTCAAGGGTTGGTGAAATCACTAGCACTTCAGCCAGTGCAAGTAATGCACCTCCCTACACCGTGCAGGGATTAGTATTGTCATCAGCTTCTGAAGGAGAAATACGAAACTCTTGAGTGCCTGAACTCAGGTCCTGACAGGTAAAGAGTCTTTTAATTTATCATTAATAGATGGCTTGAGTAAAACTGCATAGAAATGATACGTGAAAGTTTTGTGCCAGTTTCCCCTTAGTATATTCTACCAGGTATGTGTATAGTATTAGCTCTATAAGAAAAATAAATTGTCACTGGTGACATAAGATATATCAAACAAGGTTCAAATACATAGTTTCAGATGTGCTAGCATCACTTTGGTTTATGAATATAAAGTTATAAAATTTAATGCTCTTGAAGTACGAGTGTATTTGAATGTGCATGTGAGAGTGTACATGTGTTTAATGTGATAAAACAGGTCAGGTATATTGCCAAATTAATTTCAGAACAATGAAAAAAAGAATTTGACAAAAAGTAGTGGTTCTTCACATTTAATCATAAACTTTAAGTAATATGTATCCTGAATTATATATAGGTAACCTATAGCATCAATTAGCCACAATTGCTTTGAAGTAGACATATTTAATGTCATATTTTGAAGATATAAAACAGGAAGATTGAAACAAAAGGAAAAAAATAGCTATCTCTGAGACAAATATATTAAAATGTGATACAGAATTTCATGCAGAAATTTTAAATGGAAAGGTGTTTGAGTATAACTTCAGTTATACTTCAGCCTCTTCTGTCCTCCTCAGGCATTGCATGACACAGATGCACTTACCTTCGTGCAGGCATAACACTCATACACATAA